AGTCTTCCAGAGAAGGGCGCTATGGAGATCACATCCTGCCCGTAGGGAGGTATCATGTGGAGACACTGATATGAACTGACCCAGGCCTGGGGCAGTCCTACATATGGAATGGGTCTCTGAGGCAGGTCCTACCTAGGAGTAGGGAGGAACGGCTGCCAGCAGAGACTGACAGAGCGGTCTGTCAAAGGGAACACACGGGTTCACTGAGAGGGAAACCTTACCGTGGAAGAATACACATATGGGATCGCCTGCAGGAATTCAAGCCATATGGACACCTAGCCCAGTAAAGGGGCTGACCAGAAACTCTGCAATCTAACAACGATACTGGGCCTGGCGTCAGACTGCTCTGCCCAGTCTGACTGCCAGGAGTGCTGGAGGATACTCAACCAGGGTTCGCCGACTGGGGAACTTACTGGAGGAGGAAAAGGCGCTCACATCCCCGGGTGAGGAGGAATGGCGCAGCAAGCGTGACACCGACCGGCTCTTCCCGCTACTTACCTGTTACCCAACACACGGGAAGAAACCGGCTCAACGTGGAGACTTTAAAATCTTGCGAAGGTGTTTGGGGTCGCCCAGCCTCCAGCTCTACAGATGTCTGCCAAAGAGGCGCTGTGCGCCAGTGCATAGGAGGAGGCAACACTCCGTGTGGAGTGAGCCCACATCCCCAGGGGGCACGGCTCGCCTTGAGATTGGTAGGCCAAGGCGATGGCATCCAATATCCAGTGGGCCAACCTCTGCTTGGAGACAGCCTTCCCTTTCTGCTGACCTCCGTAGCAGACAAAGAGCTGCTCGGAGCTTCTGAAGCTCCGGGTGCGGTCCACGTATATGCGCAACACTCTTACAGGACACAGCAACGCCAAGACTGGATCTGCCTCCTCCGAGGGCAGTGCTTGCTGGTTCACCACCTGATCACGAAAGGGCGTGGTGGGAACCATGGGCACGTATCCAGGCCGGGGTCTCAGGACAACGTGAGAGTAGGCCGGCCCGAACACAAGGCACTCTTCGCTCACCGAAAATGATTGGAGGTCCCCGACCCTCTTGATGGAAGTGAGCGCGGTCAGGAGCGTTGTCTTAGCAGACAGGAACTTAAGCTCAACTGAATCCAGCGGCTCAAAAGGATCCCTCTGAAGGCCAGCCAGGACAGTAGAGAGATCCCAGGAGGGCACCAGGGGTGGCCTAGAAGAATTTAACCTTCTGGCACCCCTCAGGAACCTGACGATGAGATCGTGCTTTCCCAGGGACCGGCCGTCCACTGCATCGTGATGTGCTGCGATAGTAGCCACATACACTTTCATGGTGGAGGGTGACAGCCTATGCTCCAACCTTTCTTGCAGAAAAGAAAGCACTACTCCAATCATGCATTTTTGGGGGTCTTCTCGGCGAGAAGAACACCAGTTCATGAACAGACTCCACTTCAGAACATAGGCTTGCCTCGTCGAGGGAGCTCTAGCCTGAGTGATCATGTTTACCACTGCCGGTGGCAGATCACTTAAGTCTGTCACGTCCCATCCAAGAGCCACACGTGGAGGTCCCAGAGATCTGGACACGGGTGCCATATGGTGCCGAGCCCCTGAGAAAGGAGGTCCTTCTTCAGAGGGATGCTCCAGGGAGGGGCTGTCGCAAGGACCATGAGTTCCGAAAATCAGCACAGGAGCACCGCAACCGGTCTCTCCACCTGGGGAATGTCAATGTACCCCCTCGCCACCCCGCTGTCGAGGGTAGTGAGGACGGAGGAGGCAGACGAGCGGCTTCTGGCTGAAAAAGGGTCCGTCCACGACTTCGTCAGCTCCTCATGCACCTCCAGGAAAAAAGGCAGGAGCAGGAGAAGTTGTGAGCCACGCCCTGCCCAGAGAGACCAATCATCCAGCCGCAAGGGCTCGGGACTGGGCAGTGTGTTCACCTCCAGCCCGATGCTCACGGCTGCCCGGGCAAGCATGGCCGTCAGCTCCGGGTCTGATTGGGCGGTGGCGACAACACCCGAAAGGGGGCAGCCCCGCCGAATCTTCATCCTCAGAGGACGATAGCCCATCCCCCAATGCCGCGATTGACATCCGAGCCTCCAGCGGCGCACCGAATGAAATGCTGGGACCGTCACGAGCCTGGCCAGCAAAATCACTCAGAAGTGAGAGGTCCGCGGGGACGTGCCCGGCGGAGAAGCTCTCACTGTGACCCTCAGATCTACCAGAGCTCTAGCTGGTGGTCCCCTGCTCGTGACAGGGAAACCAGGACGGGTAGAGACAGAGGGTGCAGCTCCGTTCCCTGTGAGGAGAGAGGTGAGATTGCAGTGAAGCCATGCTCATACTCTCACTATGAAGGCATGAGTCATCCACGAACGCAGCTTCAGCGTGTTGGATGCCCAGACACTGAAGACAACAATCGTGTCCGTCAACAGAGGACAGGTAACGACCGCACCCAAGAGAACACGGACGGAACGGCATCTTTAAAAAGACGCGAACCGACCGTGATTTTCTCTTAAAAAAACTGCACTTTCAGTTGAAGTGCCCAGGGGAATCGGTGATGACAGGGACATCGCTGTTTGCACCGTAACGCCAACCAGGTACATCTTCTTCCAGTCAGATGAGTAAAGGGCTTTGTGGAGATCAAGCACTATCATCCACTCGGCTCTGAAGCAAAAATCTGAAGAGTGGATGCACCTGTCACCTATTTATACCCGTATGCACGGGGAGTGGCTCAGGTATGCAAAATCCACTAGCCAAATTTAATTGGCGTTTTCTCTTAAAGTCAGAGAGGATTGGGGCTCCCAAGTGAACCCCCATGTCGTCATGACATAACTCATAGTGACCGACAGATAGGGAACTCTACAGGACATTGGCCCTCCAAGAGCAGAACTGGACAACCCTTGATCTGAGAGGACCAAGCTGAATGTGAAATAGGTATTACTATGCAAATTTCAGCAATAATTAATACATGATGGTTGTGGCATCATAAACAAGCAATTTTTTGAAGAAAAAGATTTTGCATTCATTAGACCAAACTCTTATTTCAGGAAAAAGAGGAAGGGAATTTTGGTTTTTCATGGCATGTCCCCATGACATGAATGAATTTGAAACCTCAGGGAATTGCACAAAACTAATGCTAAGCATTTTTATTGATCTGGACAAATATTTCCTGACAGCGCTCCATTACAATACATTCCAGAAAAATGACCCCATTATAGTTTCATCAATGTCTCTTTCTCTCCTCTCCCACCTGTCTGCCTTTGTGTGTCACTCTGTGGATTTAGTCAAATTTTTCTGCTGGATGAGTACACGGTTGATGGCAATAGAGCGTAGAAATGCCAACTGTCCATCACAGCTGTCAGCATCTGTTCTGGTGCCAAAATCAGGGGCCATTCCACAAGGTCATAGATACAGTGGACTCTTGGTTCTCAAACAACAGAACTAATTCCTCTTCCAATCTCAGACTTGTTTAATAACTCAAATCTCTGAACTTCCATCTTTCAGTTAATCTCTTAATCAAAAGATGCTGTTCTGAGTCACCACAATGTTTCCTACCTCATTGAAGTCTGCACCTCTGTTCTAAAACCTAATCAGAAAACCTAGTTGAAAACCTACCGAGACATCATAGATGCATGACTGTCATTTGTTCCAAAAGTTATGTTGCCTTCTAACACCTCTCTGTAAGCCAGTTTCTAAGGCTGCAACACTGTATCTCTCATAAGAATGCAATCCCACAATATATTGCAGTAAACTCAACAAAATAAATATGGGCAGATTAAACAACTAGATGTCAATTTTAAATATATATATAGTTCAGTGCTACATTAATTTTTTTATACACTACAGCTTAAAAGTTTAAGTTGGAAAGAATTCTCTAAAAAATAGAAATTAGTATTTAAATATATTCATTAAAATATCCTGAAAAAAAATGCTTCCACAAAAAAGCAACACAACCCTTTTTCAACATTGATAATGATTTCTAAAAGAATCATGTGACACTGAAGACTGGAGTAATGGTCCTTCAGAAATCATTCTAATAAGCTGATTTGGTACTATAAGGGCCCAAAGCCTAGAGGGCGCAGGACCCTATAGTTTTCCTAAGGATTATTATTAGGGCCAAAGCCCTAGAGGGCACAGCACCCCCTTTAATGCACTAAAATAACATGGTCCATATATCATACATACTTACACATACACGTATAAAACTGCACAGAGTCTGATCGCAAACGGAGAAGCAAAATCAGGTTAAAGTTTTAGAACAGAAATTTCCGCCTACCAGGGATACAGGTTTTGTGCCATTGTAGATTCTCAGTGTGATAAACTCCATTGATTTGATATAGAAATATGTTGTAACATTATAAATGTATAAATGTTCAGTCCCTTTTGATAAATTTAATGCATCCTTACTAAATATTAAATGTATACAGTATTTTAAAAGAAGTGACCCCAAATTTTTGAACTGTAATATATATGTACATTTGTGTGTGTGTGTGGTAGTATATGTTTTAATTCATACATTTTAAAATATGCCCATTAATGAAGAAAAGGAAACAGTACGAAAAGTAAAAAAATAAAAAAGTAGTTCAGCACTAATATTACAGCAATTTATCAAAATGTCAGTATGTCCACACAAGATTTTTTACATACTGTATGGTGTTTACTTACTTTGCTCAACACAATATTGTAGGCATTTCCAGCTTTGCTCATTAAAAGTTAACAACAGATATTGCACAATTTAAATTTATTAAAAATTTGTTTAAAAATGCATTGATCTTTTAATTTAAGAATTTCTTTAAAATTAACTAATAACAATGTTGTGTACATTTCATTTGCTGTACATTTAGCTTTGTATATATGTAACAGTTAGTTCATCGAATTTAATTGGCCAAGTGGTATTCCATATGATATTTAGTGCAACAGCAATGGGACTTTTGATGTTGCTTAAATTCATGCCATAAGCAAACCCACTCTCCAGATCAGCAGATCAGCTCTGAAAACCTCATATCACTCAAAAACCTTAGAGCATTATATCAGACTCACTTCTCTCCCTGAAGTTTGTTGGTTTTCACAATCAAATCCTGGGTTTGTTCTTTGGCTGCCTGTTGACACACAAAACATGGAAGTTGAGTTATGGAAAAAGAGCATGTTGGCCCTTCAACTGTATAAATTTAAATATCTTTTTCAATCCCGTTTAAGTCAATAATCTTTGGTAGGCTGCTAATAATTGCAGTAAAGAAATTATGATTTTCCAAAAGGGAAATATGCTATTTAGCTATCTGCTAAATAAATGCAAACATACATAATTACCTTCAACCTGTTGGTCATTTCTTCACAGCAGGAGCTCATGGCCTGAACATCTTCATGAACGCTCTCTAGTTCCTGAAGCAGAAAGACACACTCAAGTCCTATATTGCAGTAGAAGTTCACTAGTGCTACAGAGGTTGTATGCAAAGTTTATTGTGTAAACCACCTCAACAGCATCCTCTTCACATTTATTTAGATGCTATTCTACAAAGTCACATATCAGCGTTATTTTATTATCGTTGATATACTATTATAGCTTTTGTTAATATTTTGAATTTGTTTATTTTTATAGTTTTTATCTGAATTTTAGTTAAAGTCTTAATTAATTTTGTTGTGTGTTTTTGTAATTTCATAAGATTTTTAAATATTTCTCTTTAGCTTTCATTTATATTTATTTCAGTTTTAGTAATTTTAGTACTTCAACTTGTCTATTTTCTATTTTAATATATTGTAAAATGTTATTTATTTCTTGATAAAAAAAATTCTGGAGTCTTTGATGAATAGGGTGATCAAAAGAACATCATTTATTTGAAATATATACATTTATTGTAACAATGTAAAAGTCTTTACTGTCACTTTTGATCAATTGAATGTGTCCTTAGTGAAATAAGCTATTAATTTAAAATAAAACTCTTGCCAACCCAAACCAAATAGTTTTCAGTGTTTGCTAGAGTACAGAAGTGAAATGCATAAATACATGTTGTAATTTGAATATAATGTACCTTGTAAGATGTAGACAAGTACTAAAATTACTAAAACTGAAATAAATATAAATGAAAGCTAAATAGAAATATATAAAAAAAACTTACAAAACACACAACAAAATTAATTAAGACTTCAACTAAAATTAAAAATAAATTAATTCAAAATATAATAGTAGTTTTTGATCATTTAAAAAAGTCTCACAGGCATGTTATGTAATATTACAGGATGATTTTGATTATACATATATATACTGCTTTTTAATTATAAATTTTTGAGCTGCTGTATAGAATTGTCACTGTGAATTTACCTCCTTCACTTCTTTAAATATCCGTACAAACTCTTCATTTATGGAAAGGCTGCGTCTCTCTATGTCTCCTCTGAGGTTCCTCCTGGTTCTCAGACTGTTCTCAGTGAAAAACACAGAGAGAGATTTCAACGCTTCCAGCATCTCCTAGAAAGAAACAAAAAAAGGAAATAAGTGAAGCAACAAGATCTTAACTGCTGCTTGTTCATCAACTGCATGTTGCCTATGAACATCAGATGACATAACTGCATTTACAAAATGCATAATGCATGTTCTAATCAAAATAATATTACTGCAAACACCTTCGCCAATAAATGTACTATAGTAGTACAATGGTACAGTACAGCGATGGTATGGCAATTCTTTGGTTGTTCGTTATAGACTAATGTTCAAAAGCTGATAAGATTCTTTTAATGTTTTTGAAAGAAGTCTCTTAAGCTGCATTTATCCCATCAAAGATACAGTAAAAACAATAATACCATGAAACATTATTTCAATTTTAAATAACTGTTTTCTATTTTATTATAGTTTAAATTTTAATTTATTCTTGTGATGGCAAAGCTGAATTTTCAGCGGTCATTACTCCAGTCCACAGTGTCATATGACCCTTCAGAAATAATTCTAATATGCTGATCTGATGCTCAAGAAAAATAAGAAAAAATAAACCTTACTGACCCTTACCATAGGCTACATTATACGGCACCATGATTTATGTTTGAAAAAAAACAAAAAAAAAACACATGACATTACCATTGTACCATGTCTAAAAAAACATCATAATACCATGCTTCTCCACGTATTAAAAAACAAAACAAAACAAACTAAAAATATTTTTCAGACATGAAACATGGTAGTACCATAGTATTCTTTATTTTAGTACCTTGGAGTACCATATAAATACCTAGTACAAGAATTTCAGTATGTTCATCCACGTCGTTTACTTTTCGCCCACAATGCTACAGTCTATGTGCTTCACTAATGATGAAGTCTTGCCAAGGTTTGTGTACATAGTCTTAATCGCATTCGTAAAGGGGTCATATGATGCGATTTAAATTTTTCCTTTCTCTTTGGAGTGTTACAAGCTCTTGGTGCATAAAGAAGATCTGTAAAGTTGCAAAGACTAAAGTCTCAAATCCAAAGAGATATTCTTTATAAAAGTTTAGAGTCAACCACGCCTACCTAAAACGGGCTGCCGGCCGCTGCTCACTCAGCCCACCGGCTGTTCCTCACTCTAGCCCGTGTGTGACGCTGTGTGTTTTGTTGTGAAAGCGAAACTACTTTGTTTGGTCTTCCAAAAGAGGACACGACTAGAAATCAGTGGTTAAGTTGTATTTACAACACTGTTCCAGAACAGTTCAACCCAAATATTCAGATGTGTGCAGCGCATTTTATGGAGGACAAGGACTGTTTCCTGGGAGAGTAGCCTACAATGCCAGTGT